AAGGACAAATCCTGAAGCTGAGGCTCCAAGACTTTGGCCACCTCATGAGAAGAGAAGACTTCCTGGAAAAGACCCTGATGTTGGGAAAGTTGAAGGCAAGAGGAGAATGGGACGACAGAGGGTGAGATAGCTGGACAGGGTCATCGAAGTGACCAACATGAATCTGACCCAACTCCAGGAGGCCGTGGAAGACAGGAGGGCCTGGTGTGCTCTGGTCCATGGGGTCACGAAGAGTCGGACACAACTTAATGACTAAACAACAATGATAATTAGTATTCATAATCAATGGGGGTTGTGCCAGTCGAGGGCATGTGCCTTGGTCTACGCTGTACATCATATCTGGAGTATGTACATTACCCAGCACTCAACCACCGAGAGAGGAGTTCGCTCGGTGGGTTGAGCTGTGGAGCCGGGGGCTGGAAGTTGAATTGCCCCCCCCGCCGCCCCCCAGGTGAGGGTCCACCCTGGGGTGTACGTGGCTGAAGAGGCTGTTTGCCACGCCACCTGTGCAGCCTTGGGCGAACGGCGCAGTGTTTCCAGAGCACTCCCAGAAGGTTACTTTATACCTATAAAATGCTGGAAAGGATTCCTGTAAGTTGGAAAACAGTCATAAGGACACATAAATATTAAACCACAGACGATGCTTTCTTTTTCTTTTCCACCAATCCCAACCACATCCGAGGCAACTTTTTGATTCGTTTTAGCTAAGATGTTAACTTTTCCTCCGGAGCAATTGAAACAATGGCTTTATCTCCCCAAAATACAGTCTAGTTTTCAGCAGCTGACACATTCCAGGATGGGGGAAAAGCAGAAAATCAGGACAGAGAGATGGCATGGGAGAGAAGGAGAGAACAGCTTTTGCCCAACTGGAAAAAAAACAAATAATAGGTGATGGGTTATGTTGTCTAGTGGGGGAGGCGAGCAGGGAAGAACGCAGCCCTTTCGAAGTTTGATTCGTTTCCATTGTTTTGTGCTTGGCTTTCATGCCAACATTACAGGCAGTTTTCTTAATCGGTTTTTATCGTACGAGAAAGGGATAGAAAGTAATTAATCGTTTCCACCCACACAGACCAAGGGTCTTCATTTTCGCCTTGACTCCTTGGCGGGACGGCATCTGACCATGGCCACGATGAGTAGCAGCTGTCAAAGGAGGCCTTGTGCGACGAGACAAAAAAGAGCACACAATTTCTCCTTTTGGAGGAAAAAAAAAGTGTGGGAGGAGGGATTGATTCTTCTTCCCTCCCCTTAAGAGGCGTCAAGTTCTTGATTGAAAAGAATAGAGAAACTGGGGAGGGGGGCGGTGGAGAATATGTGAAGCCCCCTTTCTTTCGCTCACCTCCCACTTCAGTCTGGCTTCTGTCCTCACCCTTGTTCAGAGGAGGGCAACACGGATGATCCAGGAGACTGGGAATGAGGAAAGGCGGAAAGAACTCTTAGTCGTTAAGTCGTGTCCGACCCGTCGGGACCCCATGGACCAGAGAACGGCAGGCACTCCTGTCTTCCACTGCCTCCCGGAGTTGGGTCAAATTCATGTTGGTCACTTCGACAACACTATCCAGCCATCTCATCCTCTGTCGTCCCCTTCTCCTCTTGCCTTCACACTTTCCCAACATCAGGGTCTTTTCCAGGGAGTCTTCTCTTCTCATCAGATGGCCAAAGTCTTGGAGCCTCAGCTTCAGGATCTGTCCTTCCTTTGACCACTCTGGTTTGATTTCCTTCAGAACAGATAGGTTTGTTCTCCTTGCAGTCCAGGGGACTCTCAAGGGTCTCCTCCAGCACCACAATTCAAAAGCATCAATTCTTTGGCGGTCAACCTTCTTTATGGTCCAGCTCTCACTTCCATACATCGCTACTGGAAAAACCATAGCTTTGACTATGCGGACCTTTGTCGGCAAGGTGACATTTGTATTTGTATTAATTATGTCTTGTTAAGTAAGGGGACCTTAGCAGATTGTATGAAATGCTGAGAAGGAGTTTACCATTCTCTCCTTCTGGTGGTACTCAGAGACTATGTGACTTGCCCAAGGCTGAAAGGAAGGTCGGTAGTCCCATCAGCCACATATGCTGATCTCAACTGACTTTTCACCCAAGAAGTAGAGTGATGATTCAAACTCCTTCTCTGTTTGCCCCACTGCACGGTGCTCCGACCCTGTAAGTAATATGATCTCCTCATGGTGCTAACTTTAAATAAAAAAAGGAGATTCCCATTGTTTCTCAGCGTAGTGTCAAAGTCTTCACAAGTAGGACAGCACTAAAGACGGGCAGATCCAGCAGCCGAAACTGACTTCGGAAAGGCTTTGCCAAGAATCTCTCTCCACCCATGAGACAGATCATGAGTTTCCAGGAAGCCGGCAAAGTTAAAAAGCTGAATTAGGAGGAACTTCAGCCAAACGATATGTTACGGATGCGAAAATACTGTCGGGTGGAAAATGACTCACTGCCACCACGTGAAGCTAATGTCCTTACACTGAGATCAAATCCAAAGGATTGCAAAGCAGCGATTATCTGGGGGGGAGGACAAATCTGCTTCTGGTATTCTGCCAACCAAATTTTTTTTCCTAGGGATTCCCCCGCTCACCATCCCCCTCAATTATTTATTATTCTGCAGCTAGACGACGCGGTAGGCCTTGATAGGGTGCTAAGCCTCTTCCTTGCTTCCATTCACCATTCAAACGTGGCTTGCAAGGAAGGATGAAGTTTTATTCAAAAAAAAGCGGATCAAAATGAGAAAATAAACCTGTTTAGTAAAAAAAAAAACCAGGTCTAAAATTCAAGGAAGTCTGGATACTTGGTACAGGATACCGAAAGCGTAAAAGAACACATGCCGGACACATATGTTCTCTCGTGAGTAAGCACGGGGTTCTACCAAGCAGAGAGAGAGAGAGACAGATGAGACAAACAGCTGTCCTACTATTCTAGATAAAAAAACAAAAATAAAAGGAATAATCGTGACCCCATGGACCAGAGCACGCCAGGCCCTCCTGTCTTCTACTGCCTCCCGGAGTTGTGTCAGGTTCATGTTGGTTGCTTCGCAGACACTGTCCAGCCGTCTCATCCTCGGTCGTCCCCTTCTCCTCTTGCCTTCACACTTTCCCAACATCAGGGTCTTTTCCAGGGAGTCTTTTCTTCTCTTTAGATGGCCAAAGTACTGGAGCCTCAGCTTCAGGATCTGTCCTTCAAGTGAGCATTCAGGGTTGATTTCCTTTAGAACTTATAGGTTTGTTCTCCTTGCAGTCCAGGGGATTCTCAAGAGCCTCCTCCAGCACCACAATTCAAAGGCATCAATTCTTCGGCGGTCTGCTTTCTTTATGGTCCAGCTCTCACTTCCATACATCATGACAGGAAAAACCATAGCTTTGACTATTCGGACTTTTGTTGGCAAGGTGATGTCTCTGCTTTTCAAGATGCTGTCAAGATTTGTCATCGCTTTCCTCCCAAGAAGAAGGCGCCTTTTAATTTCAGGGCTGCTGTCTCCACATAACTACATATTATGTAGTTACAGATAACTACATATTATGTATGTAGGCTTGATTTCTGAAGGTAATCAACCCTGAGTGGTCAATGGAAGGACAGATCCTGAAGCGGAGGCTCCAGTCCTTTGGCCATTTCATGAGAAGAGAAGACTCCTTGGAAAAGACCCTAATGTTGGGAAAGTGTGAAGGCAAGAGGAGGAGAAGGGGACGACAGTGGATGAGATGGTTGGAGAGGGTCACCGAAGTGACCAACATGAATTTGACCCAACTCCGGGAGGCGGTGGAAGACAGGAGGGCTTGGCGTGCTCTGGTCCATGGGGTCACGAAGAGTCAGACACGACTTCACAACTAAACAACAACAGCGGATGGTCTAAGCCAGTCTTGTCCTGGTGGGACACATTCTTCAGCACGCAGCATGATGTGCTTTTTTGATCCTCCTAGGTTTAGCCTCGCCTCTTCTGGTTTAGCGCTTAGAGTCTGTGCGGTGGAATGCTTATCTGGATGGATCCCGTTGCCTGGGTCATGCCTGCGTGTCCTCACGGCGCCTTCCCGCTCTTTGGGGAGGCTCCTTCTCTGTCCCCCCACCCCTCTTGGGTGATGCGCAACCTCTGTCCACATCCTCTCGATCAAAGCTTTCCTTTGTTCTGAGCGTTGAATGACTATTTGTGTTTCCTTCCACAGCACCAATGTTGAGCCCTCGCGGAGCTATCTGGGGGAAGAAGGGGTTGTGGACTGAGATGACTCTCCCCCCAACCCAAGTTGCCTCCTAATATTAAAAAGCAATCCGTCCGCCGCGACTAGAAATGATTACGATCAAATTGCCTCAGATCTTCAGGATCCATCAGGTACCTCGTGTGAGTAGATCTGCCGGTCTTGACTGGAGCGGCCAAGCTTACCTACGACCGCCTTCTATTTTAATTGGTCCTCCGTTTGCAACGAATTCTTCTTCTTTCCCGCCCCCCCATAGATCTTTTGGGAAGATGGAATCATCTCAGGCTACCGCCATCCCAAAAGCTCTGCCTTGGACTGTGTCCTCAGCACCTTCCAGCTGAACAATGAAACCCTCAACATTTGGACGCATTTTCTCCCCACATGGTAAGTCAATGGTGTCTTTAAAAAAAAAAAAATTATCGCTATGCAAGCCAAATAATAATTCCCGAGGTCGGTGACGGGAAATCATCAACCTATTCCTGGTCCTTCGATTTAGTCTCCCATCCTTTTGTGTCATCTGCGCTACACCTTCTTGCCCCTCCCAGACACCTCTCCCACATGTTTTTGTGGGTTTGCAGCTTCCATACTTCCTCTCCTTCTAACTGCCATATACGAGTGCCTCATCGCTGGAGGTTTTCAAGAAAAGATTGGACAGCCATCTAGCTGTGATGGGTGGGACGAGGTCTCCTGCCTTGGGCAAGGGGTTGGACTGGAAGTTACCCCAAGGTCCCATCTAACCCGATGACAATTCTATTAACATCTTTTTCTGTGTATAAAATGATACTTTCCCCTAAAATAGAGGGAAAAACTGAGGGTCGTTTTATACATGGTAGTAGTAAGGAGGGGAGGAGGGATCAAAGTGCCCTTCCACTTGCAAAGAAAGAAGTTTTGGGTTAGAAAAGCGTGGGGTCTTATACATGGGGTTGTCTTATACAGTGGTGCCTCGCTAGACTATGACAATCCGTTCCACTGAAATCGCTGTTTAGCGAAATCATTGTTTAGCGAAAAGCATTTCCCCATTGGAATGCATTGAAACCTGTTTAATGCGTTCCAATGGGGAAGAATCGTCGTGGTCTAGTGAAGATCGGCCATAGGAAAGCCGCTTTGCGAACCGCCGATCAGCTGTTTAAATCGCTGTCTTGCCAAGCTTAGGTCCTGAAAACACCCGTTTTGCGAGCGCAGAGGGAGCTGTCAAAATCGTCATCTAGCAAAAATCGGTTTGCGAAGCAGGGACCAAACATTGCCCAGCGAAACTCCCCCATAGGAATCACTGTTTTGCGAATCGCTATAGCAACCGCAAAACGTCAATGTGCAGCAAAAAAACTGTCATGCGGGGTAACTGTCTAGCGAGGCACCACTGTACATGGAAAAATACAGTATATGACCCATCTTCCCACGCTTTCATGGTCTAGGAGGCATGTGATTGGCTTGGAGGCATGCCTTTCCCATTCAGCATGAAATTTGAGACACTTTGAGTTGAAGCCTCATAGGAGCCACTTTGATGTATTCCTTCTTCTCTGAGACGGTGCAAAACCTCTCAAAAACCTAGCTTGTTTGCTAAATGAGAGCACATGCCCTTGGAAACAAAACTCCAGCACAGACGTCTGCCATGAATTTTTAAAAAGACTCTCGTTTATAATTATTCTGCAATATCCGTGCATGGCCTGGAGAAGACGTCTTGACCCATGAAAACTCAATGATTGTTTGAATTTTTCAGTGGTCTAATAGAGGTGTCGCCTCTCCTGCGTTTTGCATCCCATGGCTTTTATTGTTGTCGTCGAATGTCAGATGTGCGCACAAAATACGCCAACGCTATCATTGATTTTTGTTGCAGTTATTTGCACATTGGTGTGTCGGTGCAAAGATAATCCACTCTTTTACGATTTGCACTTCAGGGCAGAAATCAGGACAAAAAAATGAAACACTAAATTGCTTTCGTCAGTTTCACCTTCTCCACCTCTGAAACCATTGACTTTTAGATCAGCTTCTTTGCCTTTCTTCTCCAGAGAGTCCCTCTATCTGTAATTTCACTGTACATTTTGCCAATTTTTTTCCCCGATCCTGAATCCTTAGCTATCAAGCTGGGTTAGCAGTGCTTTGTAGCCTTAAAGGCTTCTTTAAAGCTGCTACTAGCATTGGCCCCTTTTTGCTGATTTGCTCCCCTCGTTTGCAAGTGAGATTTTGCCTCCTCAAAAGAATATTTCTCACAATGTGCTGGCTTGTTCTACAACGGAGTATTTATTGTGAAATGTTGTGCTCACCAGCAAAAAACCACCAACCTGTCATCGTAGTTCTAATATCATTGGTGTCTGATACCCGAGGGGAGAGGCCCCGTTTGTTTCGGTGACATTAGCGCCCCTGCCCTCCTCCCACAATCAGTCCCGTTAAGCGCATCTTGGTGGCCCAGAATGAATAGAGGACATGGTTTTGCTTCCATTTCACTGCTCTGAAATGACCCTTGAAATTGGATCTCGGAAGCAAAGAGGTGTTCCATCCTTTTAGCAGTCTCCCGAAATGTCACACAGATATTTCTGCCCCCAAATGTGAATCTAATGGACTTACAGTGGTGCCTCGCAAGACGAATGCCTCGCGGGATGAAAAACCCTCAAGACGATTGTTTTTTGTGATCGCTATGGTGCCTCGCAAGACGGTTTCTTCTATGACCATGCTTCGCAAGAGTTTTTTTCCCCCCGAGACCGATGCCTCTCAAGACGAATAAATTTCATTCGTCTTGTGAGGTTCCCAAAGGGAACCTCGTAAGACGATTTTTTTTGCAAGACAGCGCTTCTCGTGGAACTAATTACATTCGTCTTGCAAGGCACCACTGTAATTTTTTTTCTATCCCGCTCTCAATATATTGACTGATAAGATGCATGGCTTTATAAAGAGAATTTTAAAAGCCTCTCTGTCCCCTTACAGGTATTTCTTGTGGCGATTTCTGGGGCTCTCCTACAGCTTAGACTTCTGGTGTGACTCCTACAGCTGGCCCTTCCTAGCCTATATGTGGCTCGTTTGCCTGTACCCTTTCACCTCTTGCTGCGCCCACACCTTTAGCACCATGTCCACCCACGCCAGACATATCTGTTACTTTGTGGATTATGGAGCCCTGAGCCTCTACAGTTTGGGTAAGGCTCTGAAATAATTTAAGGAAGTATAGTAGGTTGATAGAGGAAATTTTATTTTTGAATGAGATGGGTCAGACTGAGGGCTCGATGACACCTGTCAAAAGAACCCCAGTTATACCATTTTAGCCATTTTTTAAAAGAAAATCATAATTTTCCAGTCACATGACACACAGCCAACATCAATTCATTTGCCCTGCAATCAGTTTATTTCCCCCTTGCCAGGAGGGATGTTTTAAATTGTACCTATGATATATTACTTCAAAGGAGGCAGCCTTCCCCCTCTCTCTTGAGGGTGAAAGAGGACTTTCCTGCTTTGAATTGTAAAGGAAGGGGTGTAGCATGAATATCTACTTTCTCTCTCTTTTTTAACCCTGTTCTTCACAATACTTTGCAAGTCTTCTGAAACCCACTTCCTCCTTCCAGCGCTGTAAAGATGGGGAAAGAAAAATGAAAGCCAAGAACTGAAGAGGAAGATATATGCAGGGAAATAAGGAAAAGGGGACGAGTGTTTAAAGGAGGGAAGGGAAAAGGGGAGGAGGAGAGAAGGCTTGTACTGCTCTGTTGCCCTACCGATATATCACTTTTACTATTTTTTTAAGGACAAGGGAGGCCTGATTACCCCAAGAAACAGTACAGAACATGAACTGATACAAAATAAAAGAGCAGTGTACCCTGCTATAATGGTTGAAATAGAAAGAAATGAATTGATGCAGTTAAAAACAATGTGAACACTCCTGCATATACCGTATTTTTTGCACCATAAGACACACTTTTTCCCCACAAAACGGGGGTGGAAAGTCTGTGCGTCTTATGGAGTGAAGAAAACAGATTATATTTTCCTGTTTTCTTCTCCTAAAAAATTGGTGCGTCTTATGGAGCGAAAAATATGGTATATACCATGTAATCATTGGGGGGGGGAATCTATTGGTACAACAGAGGTATGAAAAAGATTGGTACAGCTGGGGTTATTTTCTCACATGTGATCAAGCTCTTAATCTTTTTCAGGCCAGATTTGGCCTGCAGGGCTAGCGGCTAACCTTTCTAAAGAAACTGCTCCGAGAGGTCACCTTGCTGGACTCAAGCACATCACCTTTCAAGTCTCCTGTTTCTCTGCAAGTGTGTTTTAAACAAATCTAAATTGCTTATCTGGAGCAGGACTTCATGTCACCCTGCTCATAATATTGAGACCGAAAGCTTCCTCCTTGAACTGCCCCGTCCGTATCATGAACTGACGGCAGCTATTCACTTTTATGGGAGAAAACGCAGAGGGGAGACTTCCAGGTCCATGACCAACCCCAGGAAGATGGCTCATGGTCTGAGACGGAGGGGTGCCTTGCCCCAGATTTCTCAATCAGGTGATACCCCCCCCCATGACTCATACTACAGGCCAACAGTGCTACAACATTCCCTCTCCCCTGACTGGTTTGATTTCTTGGTGTAATGCTTGAAGTTAAGGAACTGGATGCCAGAATTCCTCCTATGAAAACAGCAGGATGGAGGGGCCCTCAGGACAGGGGTCCGACTCCCAGCCTTTATCGCCTCCCCAAGGAGAATCTTGGTTTTCTCTTGGTCTCAAAGTCTCCCGGGGAAGGGGGTCTAATCTGAGGAAAAGGAGACAGGATCAAGGCAATGATCTTCACGGCGTGGAAGCTTCCGTGGTTGGCAGACCCTCTCCTCAGGCTCAGCAAGGCAATCCTACCCCATACGCCACCCCATTCCAGCATGACTAGGTCCTGCCCCAACATGGCCACGTGCTCACAAGGCTTCCCCTCTTTCCTCTCCGGACCTGATTCTTAACAGGCCCGACAAACCTGCAGGGAGAAAGGAAGCTGATTTCCCCTGATTTTATCAAGCATCGGGCCAGCATGATCTGGAGAAACCCTTCGCCTGTAACGAGATGTGCTTGTGTGTTTATAGGCTGCGCTTTCACCTATGGAGCCTACGCAATGCCTGATCGTTGGGTGAACGGCTTTTTGCACTCTTACTTTGTCCCCATGGCTGCTTTGAATTCCTTTGTCTGCACCAGCCTTTCTTGTTACTCCCGGTACGTAAATTGGGAGGCGGGGGGGCGGGGACACTAGCTATGTGTGGCATCCATGAATAGATTCAGCGATCAAATCAATGCAAGCTTTCCAGTTCTTCAGGACCCTCTTCTGGCTCAGATAGTAGTGCATGTGCTGTTTATGGGCACATGCGCATTTAACACAAACCGGTGACGTTTTTTGGATGACCTAGCTTCTCATTTGCGTGTAAATTCAGAGGGCCAAATGGAAAGAGTTGGAGGACAAGGAAAGTTCACTCAAAGTTTACCAACTAAAGGATCCCTTTTTTCC